ACTTATAGACCTAATTTATAAAATATTTACTAATAATAAATTCACAAATTGAGTGTAGTATTCGATAACAGAAACTACCCAGTACTGGAAGCCTGCTGTATATGTGAAGGTAACTGGAAAACAAAAATACAAAAAAAACAGGAAAGACAGATTTCTAGATACATATGCATACATTAGCTGCATCAAAATTTTTACTATTCACATGTTATTTTTCCTTAAGTGAGGCTCAGAGAAACAAAGTAATTGAGCTAAGTATGCACATCTCATAAAGACAACCTATAACTTCATTAAAGCTGATCTAAATTTGGTACTCAAATTCTTCGCACAAAATCTAAATATGAAGCATACTCACACTAATTTTTATATTATAGCAAACTGCACTTATCTACATCCTCTGTACCCTGCCCAAGTGGACAGATACTACTGAGGAAGGCCATCAGTCTGTGCAGGACAATGTACTGCTCATCCCTCCATCTACAGTAGTTAAACACAGAAGGAAAATTATAGGTCAGCCATCATCATAAGTAGACAAAATAGACTCTTAGGCAATGTGTAGATAAAAATTAATTTTTATTCTGAGATGGAATGAAATTTGAGAATAAAGAGCAAATAATGTATATCTATTCCAGTGTCTCATTACAACACCAAAGTACACAGGACTTTTCTGAGTCTATTCAAATTGAAGACTGATATATCAGCATTCCTGTTAGACATTTCTAATTTTTTTGATTTTCAGTGCTGCTTTGTAATTATCACTTCACAATGACAACATGGTGAGGCTGTGTCTACTGTGATGTCAGCCATTATCACCAGGTATAGATGGAGTAACACCAAAGCAGGTGTCAGTCATGTGCCCAATGATCACAACTGCAGCTTGATAGAGTGCTTATGGAATCTTCAGCTGTCCAGAAAATGCTTTGCAAATATACATCAAAGAAACTCTTATAAGAATATTTAATAAAATAGCAATTTTAAGTGTTGCAGCTCAGATGCAAAGGTATCCTGGCAGATGGGAGCCAAAGAAAACCACAAAGTCAGGTTAACTATAGCAGCTGACAGCCCTGCTCCAGGGAAAGGTTTCCCCAATGTAAGTGTATCAACTCTGCCCTGGTAGGGGAGGGTTTCCCAGAGAACTTGTTACAGGTCTACTCAGCTCTGCCCTGGAGAAATGTTAATCTCTCCTCAGGTCCCCTGCCCTGTAACAGCTCTACTCCTCTAGTGGAAAGTTTGCCCAGTGAAAATGATACCATTCTGATCGGGTTACTCTGGTAAATGAAAGTTGTTACCGTTAGGCTCTGCTCTGCCAAAATGCCACACCACCCAACAAACCTCTCAAGAGATTTATTGGGAAGGAATGGGAAGGAAGAATTCAGGAGGGTAGTTGCCTCTGGTGAGAAACAGGAAGTAACTGAACAGGGTACAGAGCTTATACAGTGTTTCTTGGGGTAGAAAAGAGGCTTTCCAGGGTGGCTTGGGATTGATTGGTTTTATGGTCAGATTCTGGGACAAACTCAGGGATTAGTGGCATTTCGAGTTCAGGGACCTGAAGGATTGGTGGGATTCTGTGCTCAGGGATTGGTGGAATTCTGCAGCCTGGCTCTTAGGGAATCCCAGAGATTGGTGCGATTTCAAGTGCTGGTCCTGGGGTCAAGTTAGGGTCAGGGTGTTTTTACATGGCCCGTTTTATCTAGCAGTAATTTTGAAATAACATCAAAGATGTTAGTAAATTCTTAAAGTGAGGGAAATGTTGGTCAAAGAAAATGATAATATAAAGCCAAGTTGTCAGAAAAAAAGCCAGTTTCCTTCTTTCTGGACACACAGCAAGATATAGCTCCTAGATGTTCTTGCAGTGACATGTGGCCATGTGTCAAAATAGCCAGAAGAATGAGAAAAAAATGTGTGACTTGTAGGAACTATAACCCTATATGTCCTTCCATGGTCTTTCGCTGCCTGATGTTCTTCTGATGATTTTCCATGGAAGCCTTTAAAATCATACATTGAGCATAATGGAGTTGCCACAAACATTCTTATACTCTGAAAGACCCAGTATAAATAATTCTCCACAAACTTAACTCTGATGATCAATGATACCAGAATGTTTCATATTCAATAGACTGAATCTTGCTTTGAGAGACTATATAGTGCATTTATCTTGCAAATTTGCCTCTCTTAACAATTTGATACCATATTTTGAAGTAGCCTATTGTATCTCCAAAGACTGCAAAAAAGAGACACAGAGAGGAACCATTAACCAAAATTAGTCTAATCATCAACTAGTGAGTAGATATGCATTTTAATTGATAGTATAAATATAAAAATTTATCACACAGTACCAATTGTTCAAAAATAGTTTACAATATAAACACTTCTGTGCCTACTGAACATGAACTTAGGGGAAGTTGTTAAACAAAGCCAGTGTTCTTCCTCTGCCTCCTTAGAAACATTTATACAATGTAACACATCATTTATTCCTCAATCATGTTTTTTTCTTATGCACACAGTGCTCTGTAACATTTTTTCCTAAGTACATCACAAGCTTGGTGACAAAAACAGAGGCAGAGGGAGGGAAAAGGATGCTCTGAAACACCTCTGTGTGGTTTTCTTACAAGTCCTTGGTGTTTAGTGTGTAATCGCCACTGAGAAATTAATCCGTTCACTTCAAGAAAGTGTGCTTTGGCCATGCCTCTTCTTCAATATCATGAAGAGTACATAGACAGAATGGAGAGAGGGTGCCCCTAAAACAGAGAAACAATAATTGAGCAAAAAAAGAGAAGCAATAATTTCCATAGTGCTTGTTTCACGCCTCCTCCTAGGAACACAGGAATAGCCAACAACAAACTAGTAAACTTATTCCAACTCATTCTAGCTGACTCACTGGAATGACCACTGGGAAGCTGCATGGACAGAGACCTCCCTACAATTGACCTTCCACCCACCCTCATGTCCTCTAACATTCATGTCCAACTAACAAGCAACACCTGAATAGCAATGAATGGAGCTCAACACAAAACTGCAAGCTTGCTTAAAACATTATAGTTTTTTAATTTTGTGGATAATTAGATGGCATAATTCTTCAGCATGAACTTTGTAGAAAACAATGTCTTGTCAAAAAAATGTGTATACCACCTTCAACTCTAGCACTTTCCAAGAAGACCATGTGCAGCTAAGGCAGAATTATATACAGCTAAGGGAGGGGTACAAGCAGAGAAGTATCATTAATCTTTGGTCTAATGGCCCTCCCTGACACTCATTCTATGAGGAAACATAGTCATAGTAGCTGTCAGTACGCACAGCTGCTCTGTGAAAATTATACTGGTAAAAACTGAGCAGAGAACCAAGTTCCTCTACACATTGATACAGATTTATTATGGAAAAAATCTATCTACTAAATGATCGTATCCACTAACAATAATAAAACTGTATCAATAACTAGAATTCCTGTGACTAAAGTCAGTTGTTTTAAATATTGTATAAGAATTTATCCAGTCCAGTCTTTCATAGCCAATTTTAATTTAAATTACTCTTGAGTAATGGCTTTTGTTTGTAATACAAGTGTGCTTCCGCCTGCTTCCGACATTCTAATCTTTTGTTGCCTTTGACCCATGAAGAAATTATTTCAATTCTGTCAATGTCCATCCTTAAATCTTTCACATTCAGTGATCCATACAATGATAAGTCATTTTAAAACATTTGGCTAAAAATGTATCTAGGCATCAAAACAATATATACACCAAGCACAAAGAAAGGCTTTTTATCCTTTTAATAAAACAGGCATGTTACTAGAGAACTAGAGAACATACTGTTCAGGACACGTCCAGTGTAAGCTTACGAGGTCATGAAATTGTACAACCAGGCTGTGTAAAATAATATCCCTGCCAGAAACTGTGTTAGAGTTCTAGATGCCATCTTTCCATTACCAAAGACCCAGCAAGGCAAGGAAAATATGGAAGCTCAATTCTTTGCCATAATGGTACCATGAATTTAAATTGACATGATTTGTAATGTCACCTGAGCTAAGTATATGTGGGGTATTTAGCAAAGTCTACAACATAATGGGCTAAGCAAAGTGTAGCTATTGGAGAAAGAAGTCTAACATTCAGCAGAAGGGGATTTTCTCCAAAGTGAGCAGATTGTATTGCATATGGTTACATCTCTTGAGCACCTGGATTTAACTTAAAGTTTTATAATATACTACAATCTATAGATATAAATTAAAATTGATTATGAGACGTTTTTATGAGTACCTTCTTTTCCACACTAGTTTGCATTGTGGCTATTCATCTTGTTCAGATAATGAAAACACCAAATGCTTACAGAAACTAAATTTTACTGACATTTTATTATGCTGAAAAGTCTAGTTGTCCATTAGCAACAGGAGAAATATAAACAATAATCCCCATAGAGTCCATTTTCATTATCTCAAATGAGCATGCATAGTATCTTAAAATAAAATTACACCTCTGGGAAAGAAATATAAAATTAAGGTCAATAGATAATAAAGGGTCTTCTTGATTTTTTTCATCTCCCAAGACTAAGGCCATTCTGTTATTTTCAAAGCTTCAGTTTCCCCATTCTTCAAAATCCTTCCTCCAAAATAAATGTCTTTACCTATAAAACAAGCCATATTGTATGTATACACACATATATACATATATGTGTACATACATATGTCAGTTCTGATACATAAATCTAGACATGTAAAAACTCTAGGGTCAACATCATGTTATATCTCAAATAAGATATTTAACTTGTAACCCTTGGGATTTTTATAAAACTTCTTTCCTCAAACTCTTCTGGGATGGGGCTTCAGCATGATATATTATGAATACCCTCCAAATAATGGTGATGTCCACCCACATGTGAACCCTCTGTACTGCAGAATTCTGCCTTGTTGGACAGCATTTGGATCACAGTTGCCAAGGTGGCAGCTGCAACTGTCAGTTCTTTGTTTCAGTAAACATTATCAATACAGCTTACCTTCTGTCAACTTTACTCTCTACTGGCTAGCAATCCAGACACTGGTATTTAAGAAGGGATGTGTTCTATGGAAGTTCTCTTTCTTCTCAAATTTTCAATCCATAGCTGCCCAAACTGAATATTTGGCAAAAGTAAACTTAAGCAACAGTTTGATTGTTCCAAAGGAGAATCTTCTACCAAGGTAAGTACTTCTAAATATATGAATAAGGATTTTTGTCTTTGCAAGTTCTGACTTTTGCTCTTATTTGCAATCATTTCATTCTTATGGATTTTTTTAGAGAAAGAATCATGATACCTCAAAATCACAAGTATATTTTAAAGACAAAGTACTGTGGGTGGTAGAGGACACTAAAATTTAATAATTTATGGGGAGGTGTCAAGACCTAGCTAACTTCACAATGTACACCCAATTTTGCAATCATTGATTTCTTTGCTGATGAATTTTCTCTACAGTAAGTCATGAGTAGAAGAGCTTTAAAGATAGACAAAGAGGTAGATTTACATTGCTGCAGTTCCTATTTGAGTCAGATTGCTTACATATTTTGAAGTTAATTTAAAGATAGCACATTAGCAGGTTAAGGGGTAAGAAGAGCTGCTGCATCTATGGACCTCTCTTCTCATTCTTACAGAGAGCACAACGATTCCAAGGTCCCTTGTCAACATAACGATGGTAGTTGAGTTCTGCATTCTCATAATCATTTTCACAATACTAGGATACATTCTGAAGTTATTGTCAGTTTAAAATCCAAACTTATACACCTAATTCACATGCTGATTGGCCATAATTGACTTTTGAGAATCACTAGAAATAAAGGCATAGGAGAGCTATAATCAGTAGGCTGAATGGTAGTGGCAACAATAATGATAATTTGATAATTTTACCAAGATGCCATTTTTCAAAATAACCTATTCACATTGATAATACCTAGGCTCAAACATGCAGCAATCTATGAAGTTGACTAGTTTCAAGTAAACATCCCAAAGTACAAACAAGTTGTTTCATTCCAAAGTACTTGTACTAAATGTTACAAGGATAGATTTAATATTCTTTTGCTTGAGAATGGTCCTTTCAATAATTATCTGAGCTTTGAGCTTTCTTACAAAGAATAAGTCAAGGACTACCATGTTATACAATGTCACAAACAACACTGTTGTGTGTATACACTGCTATCTTTTCCAAAATGTCATGAGCATCTCTAAATGTGTTACCAGCATTTGCTTCATCATGTTACATAACTAGTGTCAGAATTATTTCTATGTTTTCATTTTAAATTAAGAAAAATACTGTTGACTGACTTGACTAACTTTGGTGATCACTGACCTTTCAGGAGCAACATTAAGAAATGAAAAGTAAAACTTTCATCTTGGGCCTGTTGGCTCTTGCTTCATATGTTATGGTAAGTTCCTCCAGTCCCAAATAGCCTTGATTCACTTATTGTTAATCACACTTCAAAAAATTTCTTATAGTTTTGTTTTCATTTTTTACTGACAATAGCCTTTTTCACTTAAAACATGGTGTCAAGCTACTGCTCACTGTGGACTTGCTTTGACTCTCTGTTTCATGGGAATGTATATGAATTATCTGGTCAGTGACTGTGGGAAGGAAGGAAAAATGAGCAGGAATGAGCACAATAAGCCAGATAGAACTGGAGAGAGCTCTCTAGCTCTTATCTAGAAACATAACATCTCTTCCTTTTTGTTTTTCAGTAGCACAATTTATGATTGTTGGATTTTTATATATAATGTTTTATTTAAATTAAAAGCATGAATGCTTCACATGTCAATCCCAGCTCCCTCTTCTACCCCTCCTCCCTTGCCCCTCCACCAGCCCTCCAACCCCCACCCAATCCCCACATCATTCCCCAGGGAGGGTGAGGCCCTCCTTGGGGGAATCTCTAAAGTCTATCTTTTCATCCAGGGCAGGATCTAGGTCCTTCCCCATGTGTCTAGGCTGAGAGAACATCCCTCTATTTGGAATGGGCCCCCAAAGATCATTTATAAACCATGGTAAACACAGATGTTTTGAGACTACAATAAATGGTAAAATAAAAATTGAACTTTCATGATAAATTTCCTGAAAGGGTAGCATGATGTACCAAGACAAATTCATGATTATTTTATAGTTCTTATAGGAAATATTTATAAATAAAATTAAAAAGCCTAATAACTGGTTATAGTTAAAAATTCCTATTAATTCACTTGAGAAAAAGTAGAAATAAAAATCATTCACTTGGGCTGTAGAGATGGCTCAGTGGTTAAGAGGACTGGCTGTTCTTCCATAGGTCCTGATTTCAATACCCAGCAACCACATGATGGCTCACAACCATCTGTAATGAGATCTGTGCCCTTTTCTGGCCTGCAGGCATGCAGGCAGGCAGAACACTGCATACATACTAAATAAATAAATCATCAAAAAAACGTATAAAAAGAAAATCATTCACTTAAAGCAGTGGTGGCACATGCCTTTCATCCTAGCAGTTGGGAGGCAGAAGCAGGCAGATTTCTGTGACTTTAAGGCCAGCCTGGTCTACAAGAGCTAGTTGCAGGACAGGTTCCAAAGCTACACAGGGAAACTCTGTCTCGAAAACTCAAAAAAATCATTCACTTAACAAGGCAAGCACTTGACTGAACTTTCTCAACTTAGCACCATCATTCACTTAATGTTAATTCAAGCTTTCAAACTTTGGATAAGCCATACAAAACAAAAGACACCCTAAAAACATTTAATATAGAATGTGTGGCAGGTGATAATAAGTACACAACCAAAACACTAGTAGAATACTATTAATCTCAGAGAACAAACCCCTTAGAATATGCTGGTGGAGAGAAGACAGACTCTGGAAGACTGAGAGTTTGTTTGCATCTTAGTGATTATTAACAAAGTACTGTGTACTCAGCCTAGGGCCTGTAACACTGAAACACTATTGTTGATTTACAAATGGAGCTCTTTACAGGTTAAGTCTTTATTTCATACTATATAACTAAGAGAACTATTTCAGTATCAGTCTACATTACAGTAGGCAAATACATGTCAACAAGTAGTAATATGAGCCAAGTAGCATCATACTTTGAGACTTCTATGACATTTACTATGACACTTTTACACAATTTTTTCTACATTCGGATTAGGTGAAAGTAGAAGAGTGTTTAATTCCATAGGACAGCTCTCTCAGAAAAATTTTATTTACTATTAAAAATATACATCTCTGGACCTCAAACCTGAGGATCAAAGCATGGAGACGGGCTAAGATTGCATAAGTTTCTCTTTAAATTAAGTTCTTATATTATCGAGTTATGATTGCATAAGGCATATAAAGATACTCTTAATATAATTCAACTGAAAGTAGTGCGTCAGATGAAAAAATTCAAGTGAATGATTGCCAAATTTATTCTGCTTAAGTAAAATACATTTTGGTAGCATTCCTCCAAACATAAGATCTCTCTAACTGCATTAGAAAATTTTTGTCTGAGCTTCCAAAATGTTAACAGATTACGAATTTCCACAGACAAGTCAATGTGAAAGTGCGATACACTGGGAAACAGTTTCCCTAGAGTGCCTTCCGAATATCTTAACAGAGGAAATGATAGTGTTGTTCCTCTTTCTACCATTCTCTGCTCCGTATTACAGACAGACCAACTTCTGGAGGTCTTCCGCAGAGCATCAGTCTTGAGAAATCTTCAGAACTGTGCATCTTTAATTACTTTTTATTTTTAATTAGCATACAAAGTGAAAGATTTCTTTAAAGCACTTTCTTTTTTACATATCAATCCCAGTTCCTCCCTCCCATCTTCCCAGGCCCCCCACTGACCTCCCATCCCACTCCCAACCCACTCCCAGGGAGGGTGAGGCCTTTCATGGGGGATCATCAAAGTCTGTCACATCATTTGGGGAAGGGCCTAGGCTGAGAGAGTATCCCTCCATGGGGAATGGGTATTTTCATTGTGTATTTTTATTCTGTAAACCTAAGCTTCAGAACAAATGCTACTTAAAACCATGTTTTTCATTACAAAAAGTTTGTGACGTTCGAAAGAAAATGCCCTCCAGAAGGAGTGGCACTACTAGGAGGTGTGGCCTTTTTAGAAGAAGTATTTCATCATGGGGGTGGGCTTTAAGGTTTCAGATATGCCCAAGCTACACCCAGCACACAGTTCACCTCCTGGTGACTGTAGATCTAAATGTGGAGATCTCAGTTAGCCCTGTTTCCAGTACCACACCTGCCTGAACATCACCATGTAATGCCATGATGATAATGGACTAAACCTCTTCAATTGTAGGCCACTCACAATTAATTTTTTGCCTGAAATGTTATAGAACTCTGTTATATAAAAAGGTAATTGTTCTATGTATTCAAAAGTATCAATTTAGTAAATGATTTTTTCACATTAAAATGAACTTTTCTTTGATAAATAAAATTCTTAAAAAGTAATTTTTAAAATCACTCTAGCAGCAGTCTCTTGTATCTGTTGTTTTATGGTGAAAGCTCTCAGATGTTTTCTTTGTTAAGCTAAATCTTTGCCCCGTGAGGAAAAGCTATTACCTGGAAGTCACAAGCTAATAATCTTGACTCAGCCTAATAAAGGAACTTTATTAAACTTAGCATTTAGAACATTCAAGATAACAGAGAAGACTATCTTTTATGAGATCAGAACTTGCTGGGATGTATAAAGTCTATATTTGTGTATTTGCAATGTACCATGGAATATAGGGTCATTATAAACCTCACAAAAAATCCTAGCAAGATTTTAATAAGCATTTTAAGTGTTCTAATAGATGGCACAGAGCTCTACTGGAGATAACCTAAATTGGATAGAAGAATGAGTGATTGAGCCACTTTGCAGTTGGCTCCCACAGTTAACAAAAAGCTTACATATTCTTGTCTCTTGCCATGTGAGAAACAGCATCAGAAGTAGGGTGCAGGGGTGGATTAAGAACCTCTCCTCTCCTCTCTTCTCCCCCTCCCTCCCTCCCCAAGGCATCTCTGGCTGTCCTGAAACTAGGTCTATGGTCCAGGCTGGTCTGGAACTCTCAGAATTCCACCTGCCTCTAACACTGAGTGCTAGGGTAAAAGGCACCACCACTGCCTGACTCTTTAATTTTTAATAAAATATCTTCTTATTTATTTTACATCCCAACTTCAGTTTCTCCTCCCTCCTCTCCTCTTCTCCCAGCCCCTCCCCCTATCTGTCTTCACCACCCCCATCCACTCCTCCATTTCTATTCAGAAAAGGGCAGGCTTGCCATGGATATGAACAAAACACAGCATATCAAGTTGTAGTAAGACTAAGCACCTTGTCCTATATTAAGAGTGGGAAAGATGGCCCAGTATGAGGAGTAGGGTCTCAAAAACCAGGAAAAGAGTCAGAAGCAGACCCTGTTCCCATTGTTAGGAGTTCCACAAGAATACCAAGCTACACAACTGTCACATATATGCAGAGTGTGTAGGTCAGTCTCATGCAGTCTCCCTGGTTGTCCATTCACTCTCTGTGAAGCCCTGTGAGCCCAGATTGGTTAATTGTGTGAGCCTTTCTGTGATGTCCTTGACTGCTCTGGCTCCTCCACTCCTTTCTCCTCCTCTTATTCCTCCTCCACAGGATTCCTGAATTCTGCCTAATGTTTTACTGTGGGTCTCTGCATCTGTTTATACCAGTTGCAGGACAAAGCCTCCCTGATGACTATTAGGCTAGGCATCCCTCTATGAGTATAGCAGAATATTGTCTGGCATTATTACGTTGACTTTTTTTCTCCAGTCTTGGTTGGTTCTATCCTAGGTCTCTGGGCCACCCAGTCTTCGGGTCCTGGGTATCGTAGGCAGTGTCATCGGTGGACTCACTCTCATAGCATTGGTCTCAGGCTGGGCCAGTCATTGATTGGCCACTCCCACAATCTCTATATCACCCTTACCTCAGCACATCCCATTGGCCAGACAGATTATAGGTCGAAGGTTATGTGGCTTGGTTGGTGTTCCAATCCCTCCACTGGTAGTCTTATAAGGTCACAGGAGGTGGCCAGTTCAGGCTATGTGTCTGCTATTGCTAGGAGTCTTAGCTGGGATCATCCCTGTAGATTACTGGGAGTTTCCCTTGCCCCAGATTTCTAGCTGACCCCGAAATGACCCCCTTTCCAGTCAGCTCTTTCAGTGGGTTTGTGAAAATTCTGGTGGCCACCTAACAATGGTTCTCAATCTGTGGATCGCAACCCCTTTGGGGTCAAATATCAGATATTTACATTACTATTCATAACAATATTAAGATTTATAGTTGTGAAATATCCAACATAAAAATTTTATGGTTGGGAGTGACCACAACATGAGGAACTGTTATTAAAGGATTGTAGCTTTAGGAAAGTTGAGAACCAGTGCCTGAAAATCTCTCTAGGGGCAAAGCTTCCTTGACTTAT